CCATTGAATTAATTATTTAAAAAAAAGCAGTTCAAATATTTAACGATTTTTTAATTTTCAAAATATTTATATTTAATTTTGTTTATACGTAAATATATGTATTTTAGTTTAAATATATTTTAATTTAAGTTGCATCATTTGTTATATTTACAATAGAATATCGCTGTAAATAATAATTAATTGAATTTAACGAGTAATTTAAGGGCATTTATTAAGTTGTTAATGAGTTGATTAGATGACATAAATCAAATTTTTTTCAATAAAGAAAATGGATCACAAAGTCACTTTGGATAAGGTTACCGTTCACTTGCAATATTATTATTTTGGGTAAAGTACACAAATGGTCCCCCGAGTATATGATATTATTTTATTAAGTTTTTCGACTGTTAAAAGTTACAAAATGGTTCTCCGACTATAGAGTATTGATTTGTTGAGTCTCTTGACTATTAAAAGTTACGAAATGGTCACCCGACTATTCATTATGTTCCAAACTTGTCATTTTTCGTTAAAAATTAACAATATTTTGAACCGAATGTTAACTTGTTGACTGTGATATGATAAAATATGATATCAGAATCTCAAACAATTATCATATCCTAATCATCATATTACCGTTCAACTTAGACAATTATCAATTTTTAACGGAAAAACGACAAGTTTGAAACATAATGAATAGTCGATGACAATTTGTAACTTTTAATAGTAAATGGACCCAACAAATCAATATTCTATAGTCGAATGACATTTTATAATTTTTAATACTCCAATGACATAATAAAGCATTACCTTATAACGGGGTGATCGTTTGTGTACTTTACATTTTTTTAATAATTTTTATTAAGAAGATAAGCTTAGCCTTAAATTGTAGGTCTAAGAAGATAAGGTTAGCTTTAAATTGTAGGATTAAAAAGATAAGCTTAGCTTTAAATTGTAGGGTTTAGGGGGTTATTTCTTCAATCAAATATTACTTTATATAATTAATACTTGATCTAAATTAATTGATAAATATAAAAAATATTATATATAATATTTTTTTCCCTTTCAAAAAAGGAAATTTCTTCTCTTTTTTCATGGAAAAAATAAAAGGGAAATTGCATTATACAATAAATTGGATCCATAAAAGCATTTAATGTATTTAACAAAAATTTGTACGGATATTTAAACATCACTTTCCTTTTCAGTTTTATAGTATAAAAACTCCAAGTAGATAAGGTTTGGTTTTATTCCATTTTTGACCTTTTTTTGTAATATGAATTTTAAGTAAAATTAAAAAAAATTAACTTATTCGATTTGAAAAATTAAAATTTTATTTGATTTTTTTCTAATTGAGTTTATAAAATTCGTATTGGGTCGAATTGTTTAGACTTTTATAAATTTAGCTATAAGTAGTTATAACATTATGATATTATTTGATTTTAATTTAAAATTAATATATAAATTATTAAAAGTTTCAAATTATTTGAATTTGAATTTATAGCTTAACTTGAATTTAATTTTTTAAGTTATATCGAGTTCATAAAATTATAAATCAAATTAATTAGAGTTAATTTTTTTCCGAGTCCAAAGAGGTGGGTTCCATGCAAGAAATGTGGATAAGGATGAGGCAGAGAGCACGGGGAGTTATAGCGTACTGCATCCTTAATACAGCACTAACGAAATACGTTATTGATTTTATTATTATTTTTTTAATAAAATCGATAAAAAATTATTTAAAATATTATTATTTTTATCTAAAATATTAATATTTTTTAATATTTTCAGTAAAGTGATTAATAATAACAAAATCGGTAGAAAAAAATAATAAAATTGGTAGTCCTTTATTATATATGTTAACAAAATCGGTAAAATGCCTAATAATAACAAAATCAATAAAAATAATAATGTTTTCAATAATTTTTTATCAATTTTATTAAAAATAATAATAAAATTAATAATATATTTTTTTAATCGTATATTAAAATTATCGTACGAGAGCGTGATACACGTGGGAAGAAGCAGGTCTTTGATAGACATCTTTCTCCGACTATAGTAAGGGGACACCTTCTTCAACGTGTCGTCATCATCCTATTTTCTCTTACATTCCTCCACGTGGCCTTTCACTTCACCAATAATCCACCTATTTATTATTAGATTTAATATAAAAATAAATACTTAAATAATATCTAAAATTAATTGTTTTGGTGTCTCAAGATTTAAAAAAAATAGGTATATAATATTGTTTTCGTTATATTTTAAATATTTATTATTAAAAAATCGTTAAGGGTTACGTGTTATGTTTATTTTTTTAATTTTTAAACTAAAAATATTTATTTTGAAAAAAAAATTAGAAACTCCTGTCGTGACCTTTCTTCTCTCGTTGCCTTCTCTTCCTCTGTCCACCCTACGTTCTCTCCATCCATCTCTCTTTTCAAACATCCTCTCTAATGACAGAAGAACGGGTTCTGACAACAGATGAATGGAGAATCACTGAAATCATCGATCAAGGAAAGAATCGTGACATTGTAATCATTCATGCGTCATGGGTAAGACTCGTCCCATGAAATGCACCTTGTTAAATATGTAAAAAATTTAAGTTTGATTGCTTGGATGTCTTTGTTAAACATATTACTAACTAGAGATCGGCTCTTCAAAATGAGTATTTCAACAGAATGGACATATGTAAACTGCAGAATCGATCAGGAAACAAGAAATCATATTTTCTGTTAATGCAATCTTGCTGTTCAACTCCGTCTTATCGCTTAATGGCTTGAAGAATACATTCACTACATGGGAAGAAATGGTTAATCAGGCTACTTCAACATGGAAAGGGAAATCCTTACTCATCACAATTCTGAAGATTTTTTGGACAACCTATATTTACACATTGTGGGAGGAAAGAAATCACAAAATTTTAAAAAGTCGTCACAGATCTTCAGATGAATTGCTCAAGGTTATTATTGAAGCTGTGCGAATCCAACTAAAGGGTAAAAATATTAATCGAGCTGATAGAATTAATTAATATTTGTATTGCATGGGGTATTACTTAACCAATCTTTGCCTTTTGTAAGCAAGTTGTGTATAATTATTTTGTATTGATCGGTTGATTGTATTTTGTAGCAGAACTCTGCTCTTTTGGAAAATAAAATTTGATTTATCAAAAAAAAAATTCAAGTGTTAATTTTATAAATATTTTTAAAATGATGTTTAATATGTTATTAATTTCTTTTAAGATGATATTTGTGTAAAAATGTTGACTTTATTTATTTATTTTTGTGGGAATTTTGTTTATATTAAAATCTTTAAATATTCTTTTGCAAATTATTTTATAACTCGATAAATTTTAATTTTTGCATGAAATTAAATAATACGTATAATCTAATATAAAAAATCTTTAAGGGTAAGTATTTTAAAATATAAATAATTTTATAAAAGTTGTATAACTATTATTTCTTTTTCAAAATGATGATGATGATGATCAAATGAATTATTATTTATTTTAAAAAAAATCAATAAAAATGCAATAAAAAAGAATTAAAAGTGAATAAAATTTAATAAAAAAATAATATAAAGTTAAAAAAATATTACCTCTTTATTTGAAATATTCTTTCTAATATTAATTTTAAAAAATATTAAATAAATATTAAATTCTAATTTTATTAAAAATGAATAAATATTATTAATTTTAAAAGTTTATTTTAATATTTTTTATATTTTTAAACAATTAATTTTAAAAGTCAAAATTTTTTCCAAAAATATATAAAATTTATAAATCTTTTAAATTATAAAATATTTATTATTATTATCATCATCATCATCATTTTGAAAAATAAATACTAGTTATAAAACTTTTATAAAATTATTCATATTTTAAAATACTTACCCTCAAAGTTTTCCTATACTAGATTATATATATTGTGTAATTTTATGTAAAAATTAAAATTTGTCGAGTTATAAAATAATTTGTAAAAGAATATTTAAAGATTTTAATGTAGAATGTTTTTTTTCACACACAAAAATAAATAAATAAAGTTGACGTTTTTATGCAAATATCACCATATTAGAAATTAATTACATATTAGGCACCATTTTAAAAATATTTACAAAATTAGCACCTGAGTGTTTTACACGTTTAGCAAGGATGTTATATCGGGAAATATAGTCTGAACGGTGTCTAACAGGGGAAAATTAGTGGGTAATTGTGATTTTTTGGGAAAATCTCCTCAATCGAATCATAGGTTTAATTGTTGGGTGTAAAAAAAATCAGATGCGATCGAGATTTTGACTGATTGACCGTAATTGTGATGGTAATAAGAGGATTGAAATTAAAGTTTTTCGAGATTTTGAGATTTTTTTTTTATAATTTCAATTTTTTTGAGTTTTTTAGAAAAATAATAATTTTATTTTTTTTAAATAATTTATTTTAAAATTTTATATTATTAACATATGTTATATAACAATCAAATTTAATGATAATTATAATCCATAATTTAAAAGTATAATTGAGAAAATCTAGACACATATTTTTAATAAAAAGAAATTTAGACAAGATAAGTAAAATTTGCATATAGTTTAAGAAATTATTTTTATATTTAGTGTTATGTTATTATTATTATTTTGGTGGGCCCGGAGTTTCTTCGTTTAATTACCTTTCCACCCTCGATTTAAAGCTGTTGCCACCAAATACCTTATCCAAATGTAATTTTATTTTAGAAAAAAAAAATAAAGTTTGGTTGTGGATTTTTATATTTTAATTCATAAATTATTACTATTCGATATAGCAATTCATTTTAATTATTTATAAATACATAAAATGTGTAATAATATATAAATATATTTTAAAAATTATTTTTATGGCTGTTGTATAAATACAATTCAATTATCAATCATTTAAATAATAAATAAAAAAATATAAAAAAATTATCCAAGAAAATGGCATATAAAACCTTGGTATCTACTCTTGTTTCCATTCTCTCTTTCGTTAATTATTTTTTCTTTTCTTTCTGTCTTTTTCGGTGGCTTCGGTTGTTTTGTTGTGTTTTAAGGAAGAAAGGTTTCTGGAATCATTCGTTCTTTTTCTCTCTGCTTTCGCTGTTTGTTTTGAGTAGCCGAAGGTACTCTGCTCGAGGAGGGATTTTACGCCGACTGCATTCGGCGACGGTGATGGAGTGCGCCACCTTTACTTTCAGATTCGAATCCACGGCGCCGAAAGGAAGGAAAGAGGAGGCGGAAGATGATTGGAGGAGCTCTTCGTCCACCACGACCTCGTCTTCGATCGGGAGGAACAGTGATGAGGTGTCCGGAAGATCATCGGACGGTGGAGATTGCGACGAGAATGAGGTTCAAAGCCGTTACAAAGGTGGTTCGAACATGATGGATTCGCTCCAACAGGTTTTGCCGATGAGGTTCGTTCGCATCTCCTCTCGATTTTTTTAGGATCAGAAAAGCATATATTTCTTAATCTTGAGTGATAGGTGTAGATCTGTGTCATATTAATTAGTTATTTATCATAATTATGAATTTCACGAAAAAAAATGTTAAATGAGTTATTTATCATACTTTGTTAGATTTTAATCTCATATTTTAGAAAAAATTAAGAATTTAATCCCCGGAATGGTAATTTTTTTTATTTAGTCCCTTTAAAATCTTTAAGTTTTCAACTAGAACAATGGTATAAATCCATTTATGCTATGCTCCCATAAACAATAAAATTAAAATAATAATAAAATTATCAATTACATATTCATATAATTAGATGAGATGTTAAATTCCTTAAATAAAACCAAAATTGGGTGTTACAGAAGAGGCATCTCGAGTTTCTACAATGGCCAATCGAAGTCATTCACAAGTTTAGCCGATGCTTCCTCAGCAGCATCGATCAAAGAAATGGCAAAGCCTGAAAACGCTTATACGAGGAGGAGGAGAAATCTATTAGCGATCAACCACTTATGGGACAAAAGCAGGCACAATAAAAGACCCATCAGGCCGCCGATCGGCTCGAGCACCAGCACATTGGCTCTAGCCGTTGCGATGAGTAGCTCCGAAAGCATCTCTAGTACAAGTGATGACTCCACTTCTGCATCGAGACCTCGGCTTCCTCTGTTGCACCCGCAAACCCGAACATCTTTCAATAACAACCACACCCCGTCTATGTCGCCATCGTCATCTTCGAGTGGCCGGAATCCCTCTAGTTGGCGGTCCTTCTCGCTGGCTGATGTCCGGGCATATGGTACGGTTATAGGAAGCACAAATCCAGACTGTGCTTTCATTTCATGATGAAAACCGACTTTTGGGAAACAGACTTGACAATAATTTGTTATGAAGTTTACACGTAGTTTGATGTTTATGCTCAAAGGGATCTAGGTGCATGTTTTATGCCTTTTTGTTGTCTAAAATGTTGCCCCAAGTTTCTGTATATTTCGTATTGACAATAATTTTTTTGGGTAAATTGTTTGTTTAGTACTAAAATTATCAATTCAAATCTGTTTTAGTATTTAAACTTTAATTTTTTCAAAATCATACCTAAAGTTTAATTTATATTTCATTTTAATATCTGTTCAAAATTTAACATCAAACTTTAAATTTTTTTTGAAAGTTTAGATACTAAAATAGATCAAAATTCATCCTCTATTATTGCATCTTCAGTGACAACATTATCAGCAACCAATGGCTGAAGCAGCAATTCATCTTCTAAACCCTTCTCAGAAGTGTTAGTTTCTTCAGCTTTTATCTTTGTTTCAGATGGTGTCCTTGATATTTTATTAAGCAATCCTATGCCGAGATATGAAGCTCTTTCAGCTAGAAAACCGAGAGAACAACCTTGTACATCCCAACCCATTAAAATATCAGGATCAAGAGAACATAAAATGTCCATACTGACCAAATAAGTGTTTTTCCTCATCGAAAACAAACACTTTAAACCCAAATATCCCATCATGACTCCTGCAATAAAATCAAGATGAGTATGAAAAGTAAAAAGGACAGAAACTTGATATGTGAATAAAATAGACAAAAAGTTTGTGGTGAAACTGATGTTGGCATTATTAGAAGGTAAATAAACCTTTCAAATAAAAGAAGACAATGACATCCAGAAACAAACTAATAACATGAAAGGATGCAGAATAAACCAATCAACGTGCTATTAAATCACAAACTAGCAAACCTCTGACAAAATCCAGCATTGCTATACAAAAGCACATAAACTTCAGTCACATAATCATAATCATTCTGAATTGCGAGAGCTATGACATTGACGGCATCAAATCGAGGATCAGGTCGTGGATCTCCTCTAGATTCTGCGTGAACCTGTCAGAACAGAGATCAACCTCAAAAAAGTATGGTAGATAGATTTCCAGCATCCCCATAACAACATTTTTAACACACATTTCTGCTGTAACATTGCATTCCTAAATTTGTTAAGCAATGGTACAAAACCATTTACTTGTTGTGGTATTTTAACAAAGTATTACAAAGCACAGTCTGTGACTCAGATTTGTGGAATGGTAGAGTATGACAAACAAAAGGGAAGTTCGCAACACATATGTACATGCATCAACGCGCACGCACATGATAGAGAAAAAGTAATTAGTGATTAACTGCAGTACTAACATCCACATAAAAGTACTTACAAGAAACTGGAGAATAAATGGAATGTGCGATTCATGAGGCTGTAAGATTTTATCCAATAAGGAACCTGCCTGAAAAACCATAGCCAATGACCTATGAGTTTGTTAAGTAAATTCCTAGATCAAAACTGATAAGAGCCTAAAATGTAAAAGCTTAAGCAGAAAGTGACAATCAAATGTTATCTACGAATTTCTAAGTGCCATGCAACCTAGGGAACAATTTCGAATTTGTTTTCTTTAAAATATCGAAACAAAGAATAAAAAATTTAACAGAGAAACATCAATTGATAAACATGATATTCTAATTAATAGGTATGCTAAATATAATAGACAACTTATGACTAAAATCATTTTACAGGTCAGCACAGATCTTAGAACGGATGAAAATAGTCCAAAACATTAAATCAAAGCAAATATGAAGTCCATGAATGAAAGTGACAACAAAACATTGAATAACATTAACAAGTCCCTACCAAAAGAAGATTGGCAGCACGAGAGACATCGTGAGGATGGTAGCTTTGATCACGTCAAGGTCCTCAATATCTAGTCTAAGTGAATACTAAACATTTTTTGTTTCAAAAAAAATAATGATAATAATATATTATAATATAGTCTTTGGATACAAGTGAATCTTCACAAATAGCTCTTCAGATGAATGATAACCATAAAATTTCTTTGCTCGTACAAGGGTGCAACCATGGACATGTTGCTGTTTTGAACCAGCAGCACCTTTCAGCTACAAGTTCAATTCAAAACAAATTCACATCAATCTGCTGCACCAGCAACATAGCAATCGAAAAAAGGCCAAAAGCACAAATCAACAATCACAACTCCATGAATTTAACTGAACATACCTTCAAGGCTTTTTCTAAGGTAAGAGCTAAGGCATGTGTGCATGCATCATCTGCTATAAATTAGATAAGTAATGTAATTTAAATCAAATATTACCCATACAATAGACAAAATGAAAAGAGTATCAAACATGCTCAGTACCTTCCAGGTGTGTAGGAGTGCTATCAGGTAACAGATCCGCCAATGGAGCATATAAATAAGGCAAAGCCTAGGAGAAGGAAAATGCAACAATCAAGACCTCATAAACAAGGAAGTAATTACAGTTAAACAAACTAACATGTAACAAGCACTACAAATGGTTCTTTCTCATTCATACTTAGAAGGCTCGATTTATAATACATGCAAATACATGATGAAGGCTGATAAGCTCCATTTGCTTGTCAATCTCCAATTACAAAACAAATAACAGCTCGACCATTCATAAAAAGACAACAATATTCTTAATTAATTACAAACCCAAGCCAATAATCAAGAAAGAAAGGAGAACAAGAATCTTACTCTATGAATATGCAAACAAGTCTTCTGACCAGCCGGTGTCGAACCATAAACTCTTATAACTGGAACTTCATCAACTTTTCCACCTTCAAAAATTTCAGCAATTGTAGCGTTATAAAAAACAACAGTAGCTGAACAAAATTGAAAAGGAAACGGTACCTTGAAAGCTACTGTAGCAAATATCGAAGTCGGGGATCGGCGGTGCCATGTAATGATCGATGGACACAATTCGAACGCTGAAAACGCTCGACTCCGACTGCGAGTTTGACATTTCGATTTCTCTTGTTTTCCATGAAAAACAAAATTAACAGAGCGTGAGAGATTTTGATAGTATCGTTTTAGCAGTTTAAAGAGCACAATACAGATACAATCAGAAAAGATGAAGAAAATAATATAATCTCTCTTGATTATATTAATTTTGTCATTTTTATTATAATTTTAGATGAAAAAATATTTAATAAAAATTATAGTTATAATTAATATATTAATAAATAAATTGTTGGAGTAAAGATATTTTTATTTATAATTAGATTTAAGTTTTGTTTGAAAAAAAATAAATTGATTAAAATAATAAAAATAAGCTATTTAAATAATTATAAACAAAATATAAGATTAAATTATAGTTTAAATACTTAAACGAACTTAATTTTTTTATAATTATATATTTTGGTAATTGAATTTATGTTAATCAAATGAATGTTGAAATTAATATTATTAATAATAAGATATTTGAGGAAATTTTATATATCACCTAAAATTAAATTAAATTCACAAATAACTCAATAAAATATTTTTTCTGGTGAAGATTGTGAGGAGTAGGGGTGTATTCGGTTCGGTTTTTTACCAAAAATTGAACCGAACCGAAATAAACAGGTTTTTAATATTTAAACCGAAATCGAAACCGAATAGTTAAAAAATTAAAAAAACTGAAATCGATTTTTTCGGTTCGGTTTGGTTTTTTTAACGGTTCGGGTTTTTCGGTTCGGTTCGGTTTATCGATTTTTTAATAAAAAATCACTTGAAACTATAATTTTTTTACAAAAATTGCCTATTCGGTTCAATATGGAACAAATGGGTTCCATATGAAAAATCCGAACCGAACCGAATCAAAAAAATAAAATCTTTAAACTGAACCGAAAATCAGACCGTTTAAAACCAAACTAAACTGAACCGAACCGTTTTACTCGATTCGTGTCGATTTTTCGATTTTCTCAGTTTCGTTGCTCAGCCCTAGCGAGGAGGCCAAAAACTTGTCAAAGGAATTGAGTTTTTAGCCGTAGGAACTTGGGCAATTTATCAGGAACGCATCCAAACTTCTTAGAGTTTCTGAAAAAAACATTAAAGTTTCACGCACATTCAATTATGTCCATACATTTTTCTAAATCTTTTAATTAAGCCACCAAATTCCGAATTTAATTAATTTTAACCCTATAAGTTTTACATTTAAGACATTTGGATCGAATAATTCAAATTAAACTGTTGTTCGACCCTCTAAAATTTAGAGCTAACTTTTTGCCCCGGGTTTGCAATGTGAGAATGAGTCTAGAGACAACGGGCCTCTTGAGACCCTATTCATTTCATCAGAATTGGGCCTCATTTGGCAGGCCGCCCTTACAAAGCATAGATTCAAAGTTGGTAAAATTGGCCCAATAGACCAAGCGAGTTAAACAACTATGTTATTAGGTTGTTTCCAAAATTAATTTAAATCTACTGCATTTATTACAGTAACATGAAACTCGTCGTGTTAATGTGTTAAGCTTCAATAAAATATATTTTTATTAAAACTTATTGCATGACAATTTCAATAAAATATTATATTTTATTAGAACTCATCACATCGACATGATAAAATTAAATAAAAAAACTATTATTTGGGCAAACTCATAATGTGAGCGTGATGAGTTTACCTGTACTATAATATTTGTCGTATATGCTAAAATAAAATCTGAATTGATCTAATGGATTACTTTTTTTACCTGCTTAACTTATCGGATAAATTTTACTTATTACATCCATTAATTTTAAAATAAATGACGTAGTGAGCCGGTTCATCTAATTTTTTTTCTTCCTGACACAGGCAGAAAAGTCATATCGAAAGGGGCTTTTTGAGTCCGGGTCACATGCTTGGGGTGGTTACATCACGAATAAAGCTAATTTGTTTTTTTTTTTTTAAAGATTCCTAATCAGCCACGTCACACTTCTCGTTTAACTTCTTTTGTTGTTACCAAATTAAATGACCAACTGCAGACCAATCCTCCCAAGTCCAAAAGGAAAGCAAGCTTTGCTATAAGTGGACTTGCCTTAATTAGGGATGAGAATAGGTCAGGTCGGTCTATAGGGGTTTACAATATGGCCTATATAAATTATGGTCTAATTTGACTTATTTAATAAAAATGTCAAGTTCTGGTTTTTTTTAAAAGTTTATTAAATTAAATAGTTCAGACTTAGGTTTATTAAAAAGCCTTATAAGTTTGATAGGTCATCCTATTTAAAGTGACTACTTTGTAAAATACGCTAAATTAGAGTGACTTAATAAGAATTTTACTCTAAAATTAATGACTAAACTGAAAATATTAAATGTTTATTATGAAACAGACTTTTATACAGGTCAGACCGAACTTAAATAAAAGCCTTTGACAGGCTGGCCTATTCTCATCCCTAGCCTTAACCACCCTTTTTCATTATTTATTAATTTAAATCAAATCCACCCTAACCATATCTTATAATAAAAATAAGATACTGAAACGTCATAGATGAGTAAATTAATAATATTTTAATTATTAATATGTTTGTTCATATATTTATATAAAGGATAAACTATGAAGATAATCTCTTATGTTTTCGGTCAGATCGATTTTAGTCATTAATTTAAAAATTAAGGGGAGAATGGTCCCTAATGTTATCGATCTATTCGATTTTAGTCTCTAACATTATCGATTCGTTCGATTTTAGTCCCTCAACCATTAACTATCGTTCGATTTTAGTCCCTCAACCATGTTAAGGACTTAAACAAAGGAGTTAATGAAAATTAATGACTTGGGGACTAAAATTAAATGGATCGATAATGTTATGGATCATTTCTCTTAATTTTTAAATTAGCGACAAAGGTCGAACATACCCTAAACTTAAGAGACTATTCGCATAGTTTACCCTTATATAAAAACACCTTATAGTTTTTTTGTGCTTAAAGCCGAGACATTTGGGAATAACAATAATTCTTTTTTTTTTTGTCCTCCAGATTCAAAGGTTTCGACCTAACTAATTCAAATCGACCTGTATCGTACACCTGCCTTTGGTAGGTGTGTCTCCCAATAGGGAATTTTTTGCATACATACTTAAAATCGAGACATTACTTAAACGGTATTAATTTACTTACCACATGAATTTATCCCGTTGGTACAACAAATTCTTTAAATATCGATGTAGCCTGGTTTGTGCATCGATACTTCTAATTAATAAATAATTTATTAAGTATTATTTTTAACTTTTTATGTGATCAGTGGCATAATATTTTGAATAAAAGATTTAATTCTAATTTTATTGGGGAAAATATAAGGAAAAGTTTAGAAACATCCTAAACATAATATAAAGGGCAAAGTAATGATCGTCGCATAGAAATAAGCGTAATTATGATATGTGGATGTGGCGGTCACCGAGTGGTTTTCATTTGCTCATACGGAGTTTTTCTTTTTCCACTAATTGATTAATTTCCCCTATTTTTTTTTAAAATAGTTTAGGGTAAAATATAATGTTAGTCACAAAGTTTAAGTTTTGTATTTATTTTAACACCTAATTTTAGAATATTTCAATATAGGCACTGAGTTTTGGTTTTGGATTCAATTTGATAAATATTATTTTGAAGATTTGAAAGCGTTCTCGAATTCAAGTAATTTGATAAATATGTTTGAAAAATGAATGATATGTGTGTTGTAGCGTAGTAAAAGAGTTCTTAGACTTCGCATATACCTTAAGAATAAAGGTGTTTTATTTTTTTTTCCTTTTTATTACTAAACACATCCCTCACGGCCTCACCAAAAAGGAATAATTCGTATAGCTGCAGTGATGGGTAATTTCATGGAAGAAAGAGATGTAAAGTTTATATGATTCTATTTGTTTAAAATTTTAATTCTAAAGATCACACTTTATATATCGATCCTTGAATGTTAAATCCTAAATTCTAAATTTTTGAAAGGAACATATAATCTTAAATTAGACAAATATATGTAAATTAAAATTTAAACAATCTATATGTCTCACAATTTCCCTTAATGTATTTGTTTGACTATAAACAGAATTATTACTACAAGTAGAATAATATTGGATTGAGCTTACACATAATAAGTTTTACACTAAAATAAATTTAAATTGGGAAATCTTCCATGATGAAAATCAGATTATACATATAGTAAGATTACACATGAATGAATAGGGATGAGCATGGGTCGGGTCGGATTTTTTGTTCATCCGACTCATGCCCATCCTTATTAATCGATATTGCTTTGTACTTATTCCAGATTAATAAAAAATAGCTGAATTTTGATTATGTATCATTATTTCAATGGTTCAATGGTTCGAGCACCATAGATGTAAAGTGTGTGAGAGTTCAATATCGAAAGGTTGAAGGTTATCTTTGAATATATATTGTATTGTACTTATCCCAGATTAATAAAAAAATAGTTGAATTTTGATTATATATCATTATTTCAATGGTTCAATGGTTCGAGCACCATAGATATCAGGGGTGTGAGCGTTCAATGTCGAAAGGTTGAGAGTTATATTTGAACATATATTGCCTTGTACTTACCCTAAATTAATTAAAAAAAGTTTCATAACTTTAAAACTGATATAATATGCTTGATTTAAAAAAAATAACTCTCAATCATTTGACATCGAACGCACACACTCCCGGTGTTTATGATGCTCGAATTCGGAACTTTAAGAAATAAAACAATTTTTTTACCACAAAAATTACTTGATTCGTGCTCTAAATAAGATAGATTAGCCAAAAAAATGTGACAATTTAATTTAGTTGCCAACTTCATCTTGAAATATATTCTTCATCATAAACTATTAAAATATTCTATGGAAAAAATGCAATAAATCATCAAACGGCAAAGGGCAGTTTACTTAAAACGACGAAAAATGTCAGGGCCCATTATCCTTTGGGTTAATGTAACATCTCAAACTACGGGTTAGTGATCAAATTATAAAATTTTAGAATTTGGGGATAAAAGTAGAATAGTTGAATAGTTCAATGATTTATGTGGAGATATTTCCTGAAAGTTGTTAGTAAATATTAAAGGAG